ACACACACTCACACACAAGTACATACACACACTCATACACTCCATACACACACACTCATACATACTCATATACACATATACATATGTATACATATACTCATATACACACTCACATGCACTTACACACACACACATATATACACACATGCACACACACTCACATAAACACACACACTCATACACACCAATACACATACATACATACTCTCACACACTCACACATACACCTACATACATACATACATACATGTACACACATGCACATACACACACACACTTCAGTTTTCTTTCCTCCAGCCATCTCCATCCCACTAGATCCCATGAGCGGAATGGGAAGCCTGCAGAGACCTTGCAAGAAAGACCAGACCCACCAAAGGGTATGTGAAGCCCCTATACACACACGTAACTTCCAATTCTTGTCCCCTGATCTGACAACAGGCAGTGCTGTGGTGTGGGCAGAGGGAACAGAAAGCACCTTGGAATCCCTCCAGAGCCTGGCCTCCCTGTCTCTGGGAAGAGGGACTAGGTGGCTCTTCAAGCCATTTCTTCCCCCTGCAGAGCCCTGGGTTCCTCCTTCACTCTGATCTGTCCCATGCTCCATGCTGCTACATTAGAGGAGCCCACGGGCAGGCTGTAGGAGAGTCATAACTGGATGGAACAGTCTGAGAGGAAGGGTGAGGTGGCCACAGCCCACTGTGGGGGCTCCAGGCTGGGCCTCCAGGAAAGAGGGGAAGGGGGATGGCAGGCCGATTGGGAGGTGAAGGGGAGGCCAGAGGAAATCTGGTGCGACCTGGTGACAATGGTCCTTCCCTCAATTACCCACTGCAGCGAGGCAGAAGGAAGAGGCTGGGGAGAAACTGTAAGAGCAGAGGACTCCCCCCTCCAGACCCCCACCCCTTGGAGAATGCAGACAGAACAAGGCTCATAGGAGAGGCCAGGGCAGACGAGAGGCCTGCGAAGGAATGTGATTAGTATTTGTGGCCAGGAATCTGAACCCTGGCTCTACTGTTTATTTACAGTGTGTTCCATTAGGGAAGTTAAGAAACCTTCCTTGGCCTCAGTTTGTCCATCTGTAAAGTGAGGATAGCAATGCCCCCCTATTTGAGTTGCTATGGTGACTAAGTGAGGCCCAGAGGTAATAACAGGACACAGTTTCAGGCAGGGTAGCCCCACGGGCTGGGGGCCACCTCAGCTCTGCACTCACAGTGTCCCACGACATTCAGTCAGTTAAGTCACTGAGCCTGGGCTTTTGTTGCCCATTACAAAACAAGCCCACCACCCATTGGCTCAAGCAGGTCTCCAAGAGATCGCTGAGCGGAATCAAGGAATCATCGTTATAAACCAATTTGAGTTAGCCCCACCCTTCTGTGTGGTTACCTATTCATTCATTTGCATGGAGAGTGACAAGCCAGCCCTGTCTGGGTACCAAAGCGGCTGGCAGACATCAGGCTCAGAGAAAGGCACATGCAGGCCCTTCTCACTCAGCCACAGAGCCAGCTCCTGACAGGAAGAGTGGAGAAGAACAGTGCAGCCCTCGGGTCCCAAGCCTTCACTGACCTCCTAGCCATGAACCCCATCACCATCCCAGAGGAAGCTACTTACGGCGCTGAGAGGCCACCTGCCTCTGCCTATAGACCAGCAGCAGGATAAGGGGGAGGCAGAGGATTCCCACAATGCAGGCGCCTGTGGCCAGGGCCGCAGCCGTGATGCCTGGAATGACAAAAGCCGCTAACATGAGGTTCCCTTCCTGCCGCTTTTCCTAGAGCAAAACTGAGGCACAGAATGACCACAGAGGCCTAGGAAACCTTCCTAAAGCCAGCCTGACTTCAGTTCCCCTTACTCCAAGGAGGTACCCATTGCAGAGAAAGCTGGATTACCATCTGGATCAATGCCCTTCCTGGGGAGGCACTGGTGTAAGCAGTTGCCCAAACCACCCTGTGACATGTACCCTTTCAGAGAAGGGAGGATGAGAAGCCCAGGCAGCAGGGTCCCATAACCAGATCCTTAGTGACCCGCAGAAGCCAGGGAGGTCTTGTGACCTCCTTCCGGAGGCAGCCCTATGTCCTGGATCCCATGGGACACAGGGAAATGAGGCCTGTAGCCCACGACAGAGGCAGCTCCAAAGAAGAGAGAACAACCCCCCCCCCAATCCTGCCACAAAGGAGAGCTAGACCTCCCTGGACCTCAGTGTACACTAAAAGACCCTTCATGCCAAATGCCAGGGCTCACACTCAGAAGCTCTAAACAAATTAGAACGACAGCATTGCACAACAGCGAGGATGGGCTTCCTTACACGCCGCTGACATTGAAAGATGGGTATTTTACTGCAATGAACACAAAATACTCCAGCTTCACCAGGCATGATGGCCCACGACTTTTATCCTAGCACATCAGAGGCAAAGAGGCAGAGAAGCAGAGGCAGGTGGAGTTCAAGGCCTAGTCTGGTCTACATAGTGAGTTCTAGGACAGCCAGGACTACATAGACAGACCCTGTGTAAAAAATAAAATGAACCTTAGTCCATCTTTTGAGGGATACTTGAGCTGTCTAGGGTGAGGTCCCTGGAAGCATGGCCTCTTGATCACAAACACACACACACACACACACACACACACACACACACACACACACACACAGGATAAAAATCTGTAGCGCTTGGCTAGATGCATAGTCCCTGAAGTCCATCCCAGCACTTAAGGTGTGGAAGGGAGGGGAGGCTAGAGAAATGTCATTTTTATTTTATATCTTTAAATAGCCCAAAACAAAGGCACACGTTTAAAAAATACTTAAGGGGCTAGAGAAAAGGCTCAGCCCATAAAAGGTTTGCTTCACAAACAGGAGGACCCACGTTTGACTCTCCAGAACCCTTCTAAAAAGCCAGGTGTGGCCATGTGTAACTGTGATCCCTACTGGTGGGGGAGGTGGACAGAGGCGAATCCCTGGGGATCATGGACCAGCCGGTATTACCTAACTAGAAGCTATAGATTCGGTAGGAGAACCTGCCTCATAAACTTCAGGAGAGAGCTATTAAAGGAACGTACCCAGGGTCAACCTCTGGTTCCACACGTACACATATATACATGCACACACAGTAATGTACACACAAAATTCAAAAGTCCCCGCAACATGGGTCCCTTCACACAGTCCTAGCCTATCCAGATCTGGTCTTGTCTTCACAGGAGAATCTTGTCCCTACACCCAAGCACAGTTTGGACATCTCTGCCTACACAGAGGCCCACCTCCTTCTTCCCAGGGCTCTGTTGTACACAGCTTTCCCAAAATTGATCGAGACATCCCTGACATGGTTTACTTCCATTTTCAACAGTCCTCTTTCTGCAGGAAGAACCCCTTAGGGTTCAGATTTCTGCTCACCCAGGCAGGACATCTGGACCTAAACACTTAGCGTGCAGCACTGAGCCAGGGAGCGTTTCGTGTATGTTTTCTCTTAGGCTGTTGTAAAACTGTCTCAGAAAGGGCCATGCCACTGCATGAGCCCTGTGTCATGGGGGGTTGGTTTATTTCAGTCCATCTGCTGACTCCAAGAGTTTAGCTGGGAACAGACGAGCCCTTGGAACCACAACTAGCGTAAACCCATTTCCTTCCCAATTTGAACCTTTCTCTCTGCCAAAACATGGGTAGGATCTCTTGTCGTAGGATTGGGTTCACCTCCAGAGAGCTCTGGGAGCCGGATGTGCCTTGGTCTAAATGCTGCCTCTGCACTTTACTTGGGAACAAAGGCCATTTTTATCCCACTGGATGCTAAGCAACCTGGAAGCATAAATACGCTCACAATGAGCAATATGGAACCGAGCAGACCCTTGGCAGGCACTTTAGAAATACCCATTGGTATGGAAAGAGTACCAGTTGCTAGGCTAGGCGGATTGCAAAGGAAGTTGCAATCCACAGTAAAGCAGATTTCCTGCAGGTTTTAATGAGGCCGCGCTCGAACGTGGGATATTGAAAGTAAAAAAACGTTCTGTAATTCACACTGTTCAGTGTGGCTAAACTCCATCCTAGGACCTTACTGTGGGCAATCTGAGAAGCTGGCTGCAAACACACTTGTCTCTCATCCCGCGGTTACTAAGCAACATGTAGTGCAGTTAGCCAGGTGCTCACAAGCTGCCTTGGAGGTTTGGCCAGGACCTCCCTGCCTGACCCTCTGGCCTGCAAGTGGCCATCCTGCCCTCTATGGCCGGTTCGCTTTCACTCACAGAGCCTATTTCCCTATATGCTGCAGTTATTGTCCAGGCTATGGTAGGACAGGCTCTGGAGGTGTATCTGTGGGTTCAGCTGCCCTCAGAAGTTCAGGAACCCTTTATAAAGCCAGCCTGACTTCAGTCCCCCTTACTCCAAGGAGATACCCATTACAGAGAAAGCTTAGTTATCATCTGGAGCCAGGCTTTTCCTGGGAAGGTGATGAGGCACTGGTGTAAGCAGTTGCCAAAACCACCCCATGGCGTGTGCCAGGCCCTTTCAGAGAAGGCAGGCTGGAAAGCCTCAGCTTGCTCAGGCCAGGGCCTGTCGGGTACCCTGTGGGTCTGTGCAAAGGAGTCTGAGGAAGGTGTCTGGCATATCCTGCCGAATTAGGGATGGGAGGGGTACAGAGACAGGCTACACGGTCCTGTCCCGATCTCAAGGGAAATCCAAAGCCCCTTGGCAATGCTATCAAATGCCAGCCCACACCTTTGGCAGGCTCCTCCCCTTAGTTATCCCTTATACTTTCTCTATCCTGAAACCCCACTTGGACTTGTACCTAGTTTAATGTAGCTACTCTTCCCTAGAATAACATCTAGCCACTCAGACTGGAATTAGAAAAGGAGAACCCAAAGATCTTAGCTGGAAGCATCATTAATAGTCGCAGGGAGTGCTGTGGCTGAGCTCTGAGAGTTGAGGTTGGGACCTTCCAAAGTTAATGAGCAGTACAGAATAGTTCTCAGCAGCTGGCCGCGGGGCCTGTTTAGCAATAGCCTGGGTGGCCATTGCTAAATACGTTAAGAAACCCAGCCATGCCTGCTATCCGTTCTCACCCTGCCTTGGCACAGGAGTGGCTGAGCTGCTTTGAGACATTAGGCCTCGTGTGCACCAGGAGGAAATAGGAGCCCAGGCCTCCACGGTGCTGGAACTGTTCTTGCAGACGGGTGGCTGAGAATTCACCACAGTGTTCACCTCTACCTACTATTTTGTTCTCCAGCTTCCTGGGCCTGAGACACAGTGTGTTTCTCATCCCTGAGGCATGTGCTTAGGAAGCATTTGCTTCTCTGTTAAAGGGATATTGTTATTCCCATTTCTCAATGGAGAAGTGATCCAGAAAGTACTAGAACTACCTAGATTCTCCACACATACTCCCAAAAGTATAGCACACATCACATACATATATATACATGTATACATATATACATGTATATATGTGTATATATATATAAATACATTATATATATATGTGTGTGTGTGTGTGATGTGTATGTATGCCTAGTGTCTGTCTAGACTACTAGAATATATATTAGAAATATATGATATATTAGATATGCATAGTATCTAATATATTAGAAATATAGACTATTACTGGAGCCAGGGATATAGAAGGGGACATCAGAGGTCATCAGAGTCATCTGCTGCCCTCAAGCAAGCATGTTCTTTTGGACCTCAACAAGCCAATTCGCTGGACAATAGCTCAAGGGAACAGGAGCCAGAAAGAGATTTCCCAGCTCCAAGAATTGGCAAGGATTTAAACGTCAAGACCCAAGAATGGAGGTGCGTGGAGAAGAAAGACTAGCCACCTGGGAGGTCAAGTTCAAGGCTTCTGCCACACCCTTAGATTCTCAGGAGCAGAAAAGTCCCCAACCTCCTCAGCCTGAACTCTCTACCAGCTTGTGTCTCTGTCCTCAAGACAGAAAGCATACGGCTTCTTTTCAAAAAGTTCTGCTGAAGCCAGGTGTGATGGTTCACACATACCTGAGATCCCAGAAGTTGGGAGGCAAAGGCAGGATAGCTGCTGCAAATCTGAGGCTAGCCTGATCTACATAGCAAGTTCCAGGCCAGCTAGGCTCTCTCTGAACCTCATTTCCCCCCGCACATGACATGCAGGCAGTAGCAGAAGCAACGGTTTGCAAAGACAGAATCTTGAAGAAGCAGGACTAGGGTGATTGCTCAGAGCGAAGGCGCCGTGGGGAAGTGAGTGTCGCCCATGCCCCTTGGGCACATGCATGTGTGCACACAGTGTGAACAGCCTCATGGGAAGGGAGAGGATGCTGAGAGGGGAAGTGAGGATGGCTTGGTGGCTTGGTGCTGAGACACTCAGCAGGGTGTGCGGCAGAAGGGCTTGAACCAAAGGCCTCCCCACCACACTGTCGTGGTTCTCATTCAGTTCAACAAATCACAGTGGGACACTGGATGGTTTGAAAAGACAAGTAATTTGAATGGAAATAGAGATTTGGTCACTGAGCTGGGGCTTGAGTTGAGGCTGTAGCTCCGTTGTCCCCATTCTGGCTCAAACCCTCAGGTTTGTCCAGGATCACAGTTTTTCCTTCTGCCTCTCCAGGGCTTAAGTAAGAGCTGGCTCACATCGGATGCCTGAGAAACCTATGAGGCACAATCCTCTTTCCATAGAAGTGTGGGGCACTATAAGACATATCCTCTTATAGATAGATAGATAGATAGATAGATAGATAGATAGATAGATAGATACAGATATAGATGTATACTATATATACTATATATATATACTATATATGCCACAGGGCATTCTCAAATGAACCTTTATGTGCCCAGCCTCCTTGAGATCAAAGCCCTGTAACTCACCCATAAGGTTTCTCTCTGGGCCAGCACTGGAGTGGACAGCCACCCTCTGCTCCGGATGCCCAGTCTCCTCCCACAAGCAGGGGAGTTGGGCTATGAACAGAGCCGGAAAGGCTACCATCCAGTCCCCGCTGTACCACTGGGCAGTGAATATGTGCCCCCTCTACAGAGTGTGGCAGGTGACGCCTGCTTCACAGAGTGAGCAGTGACAGGAGCAGCGGTGGGGGTGGGCGAGGGGGGTGTTCAGGGGCCACCGTCAAGAAGGGACAGAGTAATGAAGCAGCAGAGAGGAAATGGGGATCTGCAGGGAATCGGGTCTGAAGTGTCCTTACTGTCACTGTCCTGCTCGTTAGACCGGTACGCTGTGCATGTAGACGCTGAGCCTTTGCCTGTGGGAACAAAGAGAGGTCCATTAGGTGAGTGTGAGGCTCATGACATCACAGGGGTTAGTCAAGGCTAGTGACTTCTCTCTCTTCTATCACAGGAATTTGTGCTAATGCCCACCTGGCAGTGCTCGCCCAGGGGAGTCTGTACATGTGCGCACATGTCTTACATTCTCAGCTGGACAGACAGACAGATAGACACACTCACCTCACAGCCGTTTGGCTGTGAGGATCAACTCAAACCCAGGACCCATTCAGTCCCCCGCTGCCTGCGTTTTCTCATGAGTGGTGACACTGTAGGTTCAGGTACACACACCCTCTTACATAAAAAAGGTCACTCTGTTAACAAATAGACACACACACAAAAGATGTCCATACCCCACACGCATGCATCCACTTCTTACACAAAACTATGTAGTCGTGTGGCAGATGTGCAGATACCTCCCCTCCCCCACCAGCCCACCCGCCTACCTGCCCTACTCCCAGCCATGGCTGCCTGTGAAAAATGTCTCACCTGCCTGCACTTGCAGCTCCATGTACCCATAAAACCGTTGTTCTGGGTGGCGGTGTTTGACTTCTATCACCAGACAGCAGTAGACGCCGCTGTCCCTTAGGGTCACATTGTGCAGGGTGATGGAGAAGTTACCATGGTGGTCAGAAGCTAGCTCCAGCCCATGTGTCTGGGCCTGGTCATGGCTGGCGTTGGCAGCCAGGTGGCTTCCGTGGTGCTGATGGTGGTGCTGCCCCGTGAAGTTGCGTATGGGCCGGTGTTCTTTGCACACCTGAACCTCGCCCCTCGAGCTGAGGTACCACGTCTTGTAGAAGGTCACATCATGCCCTTTGGACACGGAACCCAGAATCCTGCAGGTGAGGGTGGCGTTCTGCCCCTCAGGACACACGTACAGAGAATATGGAGTGGCGACCTTGAAGGCTGTTGCCAGACCTGCTCAGAGAGAGGAGAAGCCGTGTCACCTGCCTTGAGTGAGTGCCACTCCTTGCTACCCTCAGGATGAGAAAGCTTGACTTCAGCCCCTCCCTGGCAAGCTGGACCCTGGGCAAGCCAGTGAATCTCCTCAGCCTTAGGCTTTTGCTTAGTAAACACTCCATCTCGACCCACCCACATGTGAGGAGCCTCCAGGCCTCCCAAGTGGGAGGGGACCCAAACAAAAGACTGACCACCCAACATGGGGCCTTCTCCCAAGTAGAGCATGAATCCAGCTCCACTGCAGACAATGGCCCCACCTTGGACAACTCTGCCCTGCACAAGATGGAGGTACAGAGGAGAATGGAAGGCTTCAGTCTTTGGCCACGCACTAACCGAATGCCTGCAAGGGTGGGGCCAGGCCCTAGTACCCTATCTCAGCTTCACAGCCAGTGACCCAGCTGAGCAGGCAAGGCTACATCAATGACCCTGTGGGCAGAGGCAAACCAGTGCTCAGTTTTTAGAGACTTGGGAAGGAAAAAAAATGCCCTTCTAGGAACGGGCATGGCCCCTCTGGGTCTTTGGACTTTGAGAATTTAAAAGTGAACACTTCGACTCAGGCACGATGGTTGGAAAGCAGGAAAAGTCGAAGCGTGTGAGGGACAGGGACCAGGAATGCATGACAGGGCCTCGTGTTCCGAGCACATGCTGCCCACCCAAATGCAGTCCCCTGCCCTAAGCAGATAAAGAAATCCTTTTGTCCACCATAACCTCACCTCCCAGTCCTCTACTGCTTAACCTGATGGTTAGCCCCACACATACTGTGTAGCGAAGATGACCCTGATCTCCCTGTCTCTACCTCTCAAAAACAGAGATTATGAATACGGTTCATCAACCCAGTTTAAAAGGCACAGAGTCTCTGTGCATGCTGGGAAAGCACTCTATCAGCTGAGCCATATCCCCAGACTGGAATATAAGCTGGACACTCTAACTAACCCCGTGAGCGCATTTTCTCCCCTGTAAGAAGAAAGATATTCATGGCAGCACGGGGATGAGAGGGGAGGAAAGGTGGGGATGCCGAGGGCTCTGGTTGCCGTATCGTAGTATTGCTTTGCTTTTACTTACATTGTAGGGTCTACAGGAGGTCTGACGGATAGGGAAAAGGTTTAGAATACAGAGAGAGATTGCGAATGGAGAGTCGGGGTCACAGCTCAGTCAGAAAAATGCTTGCCTCAAAACCATGAGGACCCAAGCTTACACTCTTAGAACCCAAATAAAATTCTGGGCATATTAGGACAGGTCTGTAATTCCAGTGATGGTGAATTGGGAGAAAGAAGGAGGCGGGTGCCTACAACTCGCTGGCCAGCTAGATAGGCTTGGCGAAGTTCCAAACAAGTGAGAGACCCTGTCTGTCTTAGGGTTTTCCTGCTGTGCACAGATATCATGACCAAGGCAACTCATAGACAACATTTAATTGTGGCTGGCTTACAGGTTCAGAGGTCCAGTCCATTATCATCAAGGTGGGAGCTTGGCAGCCATGGTGCAGGCAGAGCTAAGAGTTCTACATCTTCATCTGAAGGCTGCTAGCAGAAGACTGACTTCAGGCAGCTAGGATTGAAGGTCTTAAAGCCCACACCCACAGTGAAACACCTACTCCAACAGGGCCACACCCCCTAATAGTGCCACTCCCTGGGCTGAGCATACACAAACCACCACACTGTCTGAAAAAGTAAGCGGGACACTTGCCACCAGGCCTAATGACTTCAGTTCAATCCACCCGGTGGCAGGAGAGAACCAGTTCCTGCAAGCTTGTCTCCACATACGCGCCATGAATTGTACATACACACATGCACCCACACACAAAATAAATACATAAATATTTTAAAAGTCGAACAATGACAGCTAAGGTTGTCCTCTGACCTCCATACACATGACTGCATATGCGCGAGAGTCACATACACACACACACACACACACACACACCCTATGTGTATTGCACATACATTTTTTTTGACTGCTCCATCCAGAGGTACTACCTGGACCTCCTCTTTTGATGCTTCCACCCCGCCCTCAGAGCTCAGGACCCTTGGATCTAGGCTGGGAACCCTAAACCCCTGACAGCTTGGTCAAATGTAAAGAGCAGCAGCGCTCTTTGGCTTTTGGAGTTGGAGCAGGCAGCGCTGGAGTCCAGTGACACTGAGTCACTAGGCTGAGCCTCAGACTCATTGGAAGACAAAAATAAAAACATCAACAGAGGGCAGGAATCATTCACATGACTGTCCAAAAAGTATTCTCTCTGCAATTCAAGAACCACCCAAACCCAATGGGATGAAGACGCTAGCTTCAAACTCTTTGTCACAAAGATATGAATGACTGGTGACAGATAACGACCTAGTGCTAGAGCGCTTGTGTGTGTCAATCACAGTAGGAAGGGGACAACGTGGCCCCAGAGAATGCCTGGAGGAGCGGAGTTTTAGGCCTACAGAGGAAGACAGGCATTCCAGAGCCAGCCACCAGCTCTGCTTACACCCAGAAGAAATTTCTGGAATGTTGTTGCCAAGGTGAGCAGAGATTTCAGACCATCTTTGGTGAGATACAATCTCCTTTTCAGGCACTGACAGGCCCAGGAAGGGAAAGTGATTTGTCTTAAGTTGCATTGGTCTGGAGTCAGGGCCTGAACCATAGTAACCTCAAGAAAAACAGGCTTCCCAGAAAACTGTGAGATGCAAGGATGCCCAGACGTATCTGGTGCTTGTGACAGCCAGAGCGAGTAGGGTTGGAGTATTTCACTAATGAGGAGACCAAGTCCACAGACAGAGTAAAACAGCTTGCCTGCTCACCATCCCACAGCCAGGGACCACTGGAGTCCGACTTCAACTCATGCGTGCCATTGCCAAACTGGAAGCCCCCAGATCCAAGTAACCTTCAGACTTTGCATCTGACCCTTAATGTAGTTTTTTTTTCTCTCTTTTGTTTTATGGGGTTGCTGACTTGAAAAGGTATGGATTTGTGGCTTGGGAGAGTTAGCTCAATGATTAAAAGCACTGGCTGCTCTTCCAGAGGGCCTGGGTTGAATTCCCAGCACCCATGTGGTGGCTCACAGTTGTCTCTAACTTCAGGGTCCCCGACACCCTCTTCTGGCCTCCTCAGGCATGAGCATGCACATGGTGTACAGACACATACTCTGGCAAAACTTCCATACACATAAAATAATTTTGAAGAAAGGATTTGATGTGAACAATTTGACTCCCGGTTTCTCTTTGAATCAGGAAGTGGCTGGCTTTGTCTACACCACTCTGGAGGTTCCCTTATGGTCCTTTACGAAATGGGTGTTGTCACTAAACCATGGCTCTGCCAGAGACAGGAGGGGGCTACCTGGGGAAAGGGGCTTCCCAGACATTCACAGAAGGAACCAACCCACAAAGAATGGCAATACCTCTGCCCTGTCCCTGCTGCCATTGGGCAGCTATCCCATCCCCCCCACTCCTCTGTTCAGTGGCTCCTGCCTAAGAGCCATCACCATCCTTGCTGCCAAATTTAGTTCCATCAGCCTTTGCCCTGCACACAGCCCCCGGGGGGCTGTCAGCAAGACAGGCAAAGCAGAGACCAGGGCTACAGGCCTGTAGCGGGTAAGGGCGACAGGACAAGGGACAAGATGCTTAGAATCAAAGGCAGGAATGATGGGCTGGTGAAATGGTTCAGTGGTTAAGAGCACTGACTGCTCTTCCAGAGATCATGAGTTCAAATCCCAGCAACCACATGGTGGCTCACAACCATCTGTAATGGGATCTGATGCCCTCTTACAGGGTGTTTGAAGACAGCTAGAGTGTACGTACATGTAGTAAATAAATAAAGACCTTTTTTTAAAAAAGGCAGGAATGAGGTGGGTCTCATGTAGCATGAGTGTCCCCTTGGGGGTAGGGTGCCAAGCCGACAGTCCTCGGAGCCCAAGCAATATTGTTTCAAGCTCAGGTCTGCACAGTGGCAGGGGGAAGGGATCCAGTCCCATTGCCCTGTCAAGGGACCATGGAGAGAGCAGGGTTCAGAAAGAGAGCAGGAGAGGGGGCATGGTTCCATCCTAACTGCCTACACTCAGTTCCATTCCCCAGTACCTCTTCCTGAGTTAGAGGGAAGGGGACGCTGTCCTTGGGTCGTTGAGGTTGGAATGTCAGATTTTGGGTTTAGAGGCCTATGAGTGGGCAGAAAAGACACAGAGTTTGTTCTGAAGGAGAACAGGAGAGCCAGAAGCATTCCTTATGTCTGAGGCTCAGAGCAGCCTGTCCCTGGGAGAATATTCCAGGGCACAGGGCACACTGGAAAACAGTGCACAGACATGCAGGCATGCAGAACAGCCTGTGCATGCATACACACACACACACACACACATATATACACTCATACACATACACACATACACACACACATACACACACATACACACACATACATACACACACACACACATACACACACACACATACACACACACATACACACACATACACACACACACATACATACACACATACATACACACATACACACACACATACACACATACACACACACATACACACACACATACATATACACACACATACACACACACACACACTCCGTTGGGCAACATGCAGCCTGGCTGGAATTATAATTACTTGGCGGGAGGATGTAGCTCATTGTCAGCTGCTGTCCCTTAGGCCACCTGGGTTATTGTCCAGGGGACCAGGAAAGTGGGTGGGGAGGAAGGCCCCTGGCTCTAGGCCTTACATGGGAGAGGAAAGTATCCCAAGCCCTGGCCTCAGCATGTACCCGTGACAAGCACTGCCCTTGGGGACAGGTCCCCTGCTTCTACCTGGCCCGACTTGCCACTGAGTAAGACCACCCTATGCCTGCATGAGGGAAGCTGTGAGCTAGGAAAATTCCAGATCTGGGGACTATTATAACTCTGTCCTAGACACCAAGATTCCTGGGCCCCAGGGCCTCCTCCACTGCCCCTTCACTACGTGAACCCATGCAGATCC